AAATATGAACTCTTAGTAGAAAACAAAATACTACCTGCTTTCATTTAAGATTCATCATCTTCACATCCTGTTTTATTAGTGGATACTACAATTCTCTCTTCTTGTCCCAAGACCCTGTTCTTGTCCCAAGCTTGCCTCATTTTTCTCTTCCCCCTTCTAATACCATCCTCCCTTTCACCCCTGTCAGAGATACCAGATTTTCCATCTGGCCACCTCCAACACCACCACTTCTCCACGAACCTCCATCCAACCTTCTGATCTCTCTTATCCTCCCCTTCCCATTTCCCTGCTTGACCTTCCCTGCCTAAGTTCTACTTGTCTTCTTGCTGTTTCCTCTCACAAGTGCACCTCTGTCTTCCGCCTCTCTAAAGACTCACCTTTCATCATTCGCCTTCATTTTCCCTCTTTTTTTCCCTTAGGTCCTACGGGTTTACAACTGCTTTTTAAAGTCCTGTATCTTTCTGAACCCTACAAATTGCAAATAGCCCTTTACAAACTGCTTTTGCTCAAGTTTCTTACTAGTCCCTTTTCTGGTTTTCTTAAATTCTTCAGACATTTTTTGTGAAAAATCTTGTTGTCCTACTTAGTCGCTGAAAATGCTGCCCTCTCCTGACTAACCTCTTGCCCCTCAAGTCATTCCTTCTCAATGTTCTGGATAAATGCCACATTCCTGACTTTTTTTTTTTTTAATGTACAAGTATACTCCCTTGTTTCCCATCTTTTTCCTATTTTCACCTCATCTCTGAGATTTCTTATCTGCAAATACAAATCATAACATTTTTCTACTGCTAGAGTACCTTTAGTTTAAGCCATCTCCCCTTGTTGTAAATGACTAGCCAGCATTTCAAGCTTAAGCCACTCTCAGTCTCCGTCCTGTCAACCCAATCGAAATTTATATTTCTCTGTGAGTACAGAAACTATTCTGCCAGACACATCAGCCCATAATCCTAACTCAATTTCTTATTTGAATTGCTTTCCATGCTTATACATATATGCACTCTACATAACTCATTCTCCTACAAAGTCATTTTTAAAACCTTCCCGTGATGTGATAAGCATGAAACTTGTCATCACTTAGCCAGTGGTCATAACACATCAGCAGACTTTCATCCTCACTAGTATTTTTTCCATGTTTACAAGCATGAAATCTCCCTTCACAAATTTGTCTATAAGGTCTTTGCAGTAGAGACTTTCTGTGCTGTTTTTTTGCAGCATTCAAAACAGTATTGTCCTGGCCAACTCTAATGTAAGTAAAACCAATAAATACTGATGTTTCAGAAAGAGAGGAAACACATAGAAAATCCAACATCTGTTCCTCCAAATATATGTGCTACTTGCATTAAATTAATGACCGATGAAATAAAGTAGCCGTTTAAACAATCCTCTCTTCTCTGTCTCTTTAGGTAGTCCTGGTAGTAGCCTCCATACATTCATCCAGCAACCTTACGTTGCCAGGAATGTGAGGGTATCTGGGCTCTCTGCAGCCCAGGATGCTTCCCGGAGGATTTTACACATCATCAGTTGATTGGGGCACAGAGCCAGAGCTGCCAGAGCTGTCAGTGCTGTCACATGCAGCTGTAACCCGGCCCAGAGGAGCTCCAGGGCAGGCCAAAGAGCAGGTTTGCTCAGGGCAGGAGGCAGCAGGAGGTGGCAGCAGGAGGTGGCAGCAGCGCACGACTGCTGCACAGTAACATTTCTCAGCAGCCCCTTCCTCACCCCCATCAGCTGCTTCAGCCACAGCCAGATCAGGTCTGGCCCCCCCTGCAGTTCTCTGTCCCTCCCCTTGTGCCTGATGCTAAAAGAGAGCCAGGAACAGCAGCTGACAGGGTCTCTGAAGCAACGCTTCCCTCTGAGCAGACTGCTAAGAAAAGAGGACGCCTGCTCAGGAGCAGATCCTTCTGTGAGCAAGAAAGATTAATTTTGCAGAAGTTACTACATGAGAGACCAGCAGCTCCTGGTCTCATCTGTAATACTT